AGAGGTTTGAAAGAAAAAAATTGATTCATAAACTTATCCCTAATATTTGGTTAAATTATAAGTTATATCTTATACAATATTAAGATTTATAAATTAGTTTCTAAAATTATACCTAAATTCATAATGATCCAAAATTTAATGGATATTTAGTGGGGTGGGCGGATGTGGGGCGGACGGATACGGGGCGGGTAAGGTCTCAAACCCATCACCCGCCCACTACCCGCGACGGGTACCACTTTCTAAATCCACACCCGCCCACTACCCACTAAAGTTATACCCATCACCGTCCCAATTGGAGCGGGTACGGTGCGGAATCCACAAAATTATACTCGTTTGCCATCCCTAGTCACAAGGATGGTGGTGAACAATGCGTCATGAGCATGTCAATATTTGTTGGTTTCTATTGAGGAATTGGTCGAAGCTTAGGGATAGGGATTGATGAGGTTGAAGAGGATGGTTTTGGGGAAATGTTACAATTCTTACTCTATTTTTCTACGTTTTTTCTTTTTCTCGAGGGTGTCATTAGCCGAAAATAAGAGTTTTAGGGTCATATATATGTTGACATTTGAATGATTATATTTTGATATAATAAATATTTATAAAATTATTTTTAGATTTAATTAATTCTTTTAAAAATAATTCAGTCCAAATAAATTTAAAAATTTTGTCATAATTATTTAAAATATAAAAAGATTGATCCATTTCACAAAAAGATCGATATATCATGTCATAATTATTTTCTTTCTTTATAGGTTTTCAGTATCTATTTCATCTCCAACAACTTATAGTATCGATATATCGTGGATTAAAGCATACATTAATAATAGTCTACAAATATATGTTAATTTAAATTAAAGTATATGATTACATATTGAAGTTGAGTATAGCATGTGGGCTAAAACCATAATTTGACCATGCAAATTCAAATGTTAAATTTACAATATTAAATAATTTTCTAGGTTAGAAGGCAAAGTAGCAATCAGAATTGATGGCTCAAGCAAAATTAGAGCGATCACAACGTGACTTTTCCATGGCAAACTAGCAATAGTTCATGTCAAGCGCTCCAATGAATGGAATATGCAAAATGATATAATCTTACGCCAAGCGCTCTAGCGTGTGGAATAAGCTGTGTGAAATAGTATGAGGATAGCACAGAGGAGCTAGTTCCTAGATTGAAGCACAACAATGCTCAACCGTTTATTAAAAGCACAGAGGTACCAATTTATAGGCTGAAGCACAACGATGCTAAATTGTTTATTAGAAGTATAGAGGTGCAAATTTCTAGATTGGAGTAGAATGATGCTCAATCATTTATTTAAAGCACAAACGTGCCAGATTTTTGGTTGAAGCACGACGATGCTTAATCATTTATTAAAGCACAGAGGTTCTAGATTGTTGGTTAAAGCACAACGGTGCTTATAAATTTAGCACAATGGTGCTCTTTTGTTAGTTTGTGCATGAATACAAGTGTTGATATATTGATAATATTGTTCGAGCACCTAGTGACAGAAAACAAATTTCTCCAGAACTGTGGGATAAGACAACATGATGCATGTCATACAAGATGATGATCATGCATATCGACGAAACATTGAGGAGCTAGAAGCCGTACTAGCAGATCTCAAAGCTTATTATATGGTCTCAGGTGACTAAATGTAACGTAGGACTAAGCATCGAAACTAAGAAAATCAAAAAACTAATCCAAACCAAATTATGTAATTTGGTTCGGTTCGATTCAGGTTTTTTATTTTGTGGTTCAATTTTGGTTTGATTTAAAATTATATTTATCATTTAGTTTTGTTTCGGTTTTTTCATACGGAAACTGATTGTTCCGAATTAAATCAAATGAAAAAAAGAAATTTATTATGCAAAACAAATTTATTATAAGACAAACTTAAATAAATAAAATTTTAAAACAAAAAATATTTTTTATGAATTTAAATTTATATATTTGTACTCAGTTTAAGCTTTAAATATGCTTTTTTGGGATCTTGAGTTTGAAAAATAGTGAGCAATCAAAACCCACAAAATCAAACCAAACCAAAAACTACATTATTTATGCCATTCGGTTTTGATTTCAATTTTTAAAAATCCACGACGTGTAGTTAGATTCATATTTTACTAAAAATCAAATCGAATGAAACTAAACTGAATACACCTCTAATGTGAAGAGTTGAAATGATTCAACAAGTCTTATCAGAGATATTGTCTGTGCTTGAGATGAGGCAAGGTATAAGTGTCATACAACTTGGGTCGAAATAGCTTTAACCAAGTTAGTATGCTTCAAATGACAATGGCTACTACGAGTTCAGCTCTGAGTGAAAGGAGCACAAGGGAAATATTTCTAGGTTATGTGTACTGAGTCTGAAAACAAGGTTGTGATGGATGCGATAAATCTGGCAGGCACTGTCAAGTTATGGTGGCGGTCAAAGTTTCGAAGATGAGAGTGTTCTGTAAAGTTTAAGAAGAGTTAAAGAAAGAGTTGTAAATTTCTTCCCTATGAGTATGCAGATTTCAATGCTCGTAATAAGTTGAGGAACTTGTATGAGAGATTTATGTTGTCGGCTAGGTTGAATTAAAGAGTTAGAAAGTGCAAGATGTGGAAAAATGGGATATCTACTTTTGTCTTTTGTGCAGGGTCACTCGTTTATCATAACTCAAGGATGCTTGTTTATGATATTCCTTCAAAAGTGCTTATTCTATAGTTCGAAGATGTTTATTTCTGGTATTCATGCAGGAGTGCTTATTTCTATTATTTCGCTTAGGGTGCTTTTTCTTGATAGCATCTAGGTGATTATTTTTTTAATCTTTGCGCATGAGTGCTAGTTCCTTGTGGCATAATAGATTTTCTATTTTGTTATCTTCTTTCGAATTGGTTCCTGACCGATCAGGTCAAATGGATCATTATTTAATTTGGGAATAATTTTTTTATTTTATCAAATTATCTATGTGGGAGCTATCTCTTCTATCGTGACAAACTGTCTATGCAAATGATGTACTAAATTCGAGATAAAAAGGTAAAAGATGTAATTGTTTCAATAAATATTCTTTAACATCTAGGAAAACATTATGAAATGCGATGATATTCGTGATGAGGGCATCACAAAATTAAGTGAGGGAGAATATCAAGGAAAAAAAGAGTGGATTATATAGACAACATCATGGAATGCGATGATATTCGTGACGAGGGAATCACAAAATTAAGTGAGGGAGAATATCAAGGCAAAAATGTTGGGTTAAGATTCGATGAAACTCAAATTGATCAATCGAATAATTTGCCAAAAGAGGGGAAATTGACTTTTTGAGTTTAGGGAGTAAGGAGTATAAAGATGAAATAATTTGCACAAGGATTTATAGTAGTTCGTCTTCTCAACCAAGTCTACATCCACTACCTAAGCTCCTCACTTAGGATTTTTTAACAAATTCACTAATTTGTTCTTTTTTTTCAGAACAAAGAGATAATCTTTACAACTCTCTAACTTTTCAAAGGCTATGCTAGAACAAATCCCCTTTACAAAGGAATAAAAGATGTAAACAAGAAAACCTCTCAAAGGAAGGTGTTTACAAAAATTAAGCACACTAAAACACTAATATTTACAAGAGAAAGGAAAAATGAGAATGAAAAGCTTTTCTCTTGTGTTTGATTACTTGGATAGGTGTTCCAACCTTCTTCAAGTGTCCACAACAAAGATTAACAAACATGTTAGTAACACATTAAATTTAATATATCCAAGTCTAATATACTTTATGCAATACCAATTTTTGTATTTAAATGCATGTGCATAAAGCTATCCAAAAATGTTATGAATTTGAAAATTTGATATCAATTGTTAAAGAGATATCATTTGTAATAAATCACATGCATAAACATTTAAATTAAGGTCGAAAATTAAAATTTGTAAAAACAAAAAAACCAATTTTGACAAAAATTCAATATGATGAACAAACATTTGAAAAATCATTAAAACTTTAGAAAATGTCCATCACAATTCTTTTTAACATACATGAGATAGAAAACATAAAATCATTTAAAATAAAAACTCATGCATGCTTAAACTAAATGAGCAACCAATTATGCAAGATAATCAAAATAAGCTTAGAGGTTACCCATTCCATATCAAGTGTGGCTAGAGCATTTGAGTATCTTCACTTTCATCACTATTGCTCCCACACACCTACAAGAGACATTTATGTGGATTTTGGTATCCAAATTGCTTAGGATACTTGAATATTAGTTTCAATGCCCCTTGTTCCCTTAGGAATCCATATTTGTTTAATTTTAAAACGTTTTCCTTTCTTTAAAGGAAAAGTATGTTCCTTGTGACCATGATAATGACAATGTGAGCATTTTGTCATTATGAAATTAGATGAATTATTTAAAATGATTTCCTTTTCTTTTGTTAACCATTCAAGCTTAACCTTTAAATAAAAACTTTCTTTTTTCAAAATTTTCAATTTTCATTTTTGAAAACTCTAAATCTTTTTTCAAAATTTCATTTTGTTTTTCAAAATCAACTTTTGCTTTCAAAAGAAAATCATTTTCAACTTTAAGTTTTGAAATCATTTTCTTGTATTTGGAGTTCATGGTCTCAAACTCCAAAAATAATTCATCATATGCATCTTGTAACTCATCAAAAGAATATGAATCAGATTCATTAGAGTTAGAAGATACATTGAGCTCTTCAACAGTCATTAAGCACACCACCTTTGTTAGTTCTTATTTTTTGTTTCGGTGGATCTCTTCGAGCTTATTCCAAAGCTCCTAGGCATTTGAACAAGAAGAAATTCCTTCATAAACATCGGGACAAAATGTACAAAACAACATGTGCATGACCTTAGCATTTTGTTGAGCTTTCTTCCGTTCTTGGGCACTCCACTCCTTCGTCTTCTTCTTTGGAGAAGAGTAGTCGTTCTTGATCATCTCCCATGCATCAAGATCATTGGATTGGATGAATAGATTCATTAATTTCTTCCAATGACAGTATTTGGCTCCATTTAAGTATGGAGTCTTGTCGATCGGTTGGGAGTCTTTCATGTGGAATGAGTCGGAGGTGGAAGTCATCTTCTCGGTTGTGTCAAAAATGGACAAAGCTTCTTCAAGGATCATCTCAAGGTTGTTAAACCTTTTAATGAGTCAAACTCTGAAAACAATTGTTGGGATTGATGAAGCTTAATTGAACGGCCGAATAATTTGCCAAAATGGGGTGAATTGGCTTTTCGAGTTTAGGAAGTAAGAAGTATAAAGATGAAACAATTTGCACAATGATTTATAGTGGTTCGACTTCTCAAACAAGTCTACATCCACTACCTAAGCTCCTCACTTAGGATTTTCTAACAAATTCACTAATTTGTTCTTTCTTTTTCCAAGACAAAGAGATAACCTTTACAACTCCCTAGCTTTTTAAAGGCTAAGCTAGAACGAATCCCCTTTACAAATGAATAAAAGATGTAAACAAGAAAACCTCTCAAAGGAATGTTTTTACAAAAATTAAGCACACTAAAACACTAATATTTACAAGAGAAAGGAAAATGAGAATGAAAAGCTTTTCTCTTGTGTTTGATTACTTGGATAGGTGTTCCAACCTTCTTCAAGTGTCCACAACAAAGATTAACAAACATGTTAGTAACACATTAAATTTAATATATCCAAGTCTAATATACTTTATGCAATACCAATTTTTGTATTTAAATGCATGTGCATAAAGCTATCCAAAAATGTTATGCATTTGAAAATTTGATATCAATTGTTAAAGAGATATCATTTGTAATAAATCACATGCATAAACATTTAAATTAAGGTCGAAAATTAAAATTTGTAAAAACAAAAAAACCAATTTTGACCAAAATTCAATATGATGAACAAACATTTGAAAAATCATTAAAACTTTAGAAAATGTCCATCACAATTCTTTTTAACATACATGAGATAGAAAACATAAAATCATTTAAAATAAAAACTCATGCATGCTTAAACTAAATGAGCAACCAATTATGCAAGATAATCAAAATAAGCTTAGAGGTTACCCATTCCATATCAAGTGTGGCTAGAGCATTTGAGTATCTTCACTTTCATCACTATTGCTCCCACACACCTACAAGAGACATTTATGTGGATTTTGGTATCCAAATTGCTTAGGATACTTGAATATTAGTTTCAATGCCCCTTGTTCCCTTAGGAATCCATATTTGTTTAATTTTAAAACGTTTTCCTTTCTTTAAAGGAAAAGTATGTTCCTTGTGACCATGATAATGACAATGTGAGCATTTTGTCATTATGAAATTAGATGAATTATTTAAAATGATTTCCTTTTCTTTTGTTAACCATTCAAGCTTAACCTTTAAATAAAAACTTTCTTTTTTCAAAATTTTCAATTTTCATTTTTGAAAACTCTAAATCTTTTTTCAAAATTTCATTTTGTTTTTCAAAATCAAACTTTTGCTTTCAAAAGAAAATCATTTTCAACTTTAAGTTTTGAAATCATTTTCTTGTATTTGGAGTTCATGGTCTCAAACTCCAAAAATAATTCATCATATGCATCTTGTAACTCATCAAAAGAATATGAATCAGATTCATTAGAGTTAGAAGATACATTGAGCTCTTCAACAGTCATTAAGCACACCACCTTTGTTAGTTCTTATTTTTTGTTTCGGTGGATCTCTTCGAGCTTATTCCAAAGCTCCTAGGCATTTGAACAAGAAGAAATTCCTTCATAAACATCGGGACAAAATGTACAAAACAACATGTGCATGACCTTAGCATTTTGTTGAGCTTTCTTCCGTTCTTGGGCACTCCACTCCTTCGTCTTCTTCTTTGGAGAAGAGTAGTCGTTCTTGATCATCTCCCATGCATCAAGATCATTGGATTGGATGAATAGATTCATTAATTTCTTCCAATGACAGTATTTGGCTCCATTTAAGTATGGAGTCTTGTCGATCGGTTGGGAGTCTTTCATGTGGAATGAGTCGGAGGTGGAAGTCATCTTCTCGGTTGTGTCAAAAATGGACAAAGCTTCTTCAAGGATCATCTCAAGGTTGTTAAACCTTTTAATGAGTCAAACTCTGAAAACAATTGTTGGGATTGATGAAGCTTAATTGAACGGCCGAATAATTTGCCAAAATGGGGTGAATTGGCTTTTCGAGTTTAGGAAGTAAGAAGTATAAAGATGAAACAATTTGCACAATGATTTATAGTGGTTCGACTTCTCAAACAAGTCTACATCCACTACCTAAGCTCCTCACTTAGGATTTTCTAACAAATTCACTAATTTGTTCTTTCTTTTTCCAAGACAAAGAGATAACCTTTACAACTCCCTAGCTTTTTAAAGGCTAAGCTAGAACGAATCCCCTTTACAAATGAATAAAAGATGTAAACAAGAAAACCTCTCAAAGGAATGTATTTACAAAAATTAAGCACACTAAAACACTAATATTTACAAGAGAAAGGAAAATGAGAATGAAAAGCTCTTCTCTTGTGTTTGATTACTTGGATAGGTGTTCCAATCTTCTTCAAGTGTCCTCAACTTGTTTTTAGATGTTGGATTGAGTTTGTGGTTGTTTCTAGCCGTTGGGGATGTTTTGGAGTCGTTGGGGATTAATTTTCTGTAAAATAAAACTGCCCAGAACATGGAGTATCATTACTCTTTTAATGAGTATTGGTGCTACCTTTGTAATATTTAAATAAACTAGCCATTGAAGACCGTTGGGCTTGACCAATATCGATACTATGATTCATGGTATCGATATCATTGTGTAAACTAGTAACGGTACCCCCTTGGGTATCGATACCTATTTTGCATTATGGAATTTGAGCAATTTGGAAAACAACTGGTTGTATCAATACTACTTAGAGAGTATTGATACTTCTCTTACCTTTGGTATCGATACCACATGAACAATATCAGTATTGTTCATGTAGTATCAATACTGTAAGAATAGAATCGGTACTACGTACTCAGAAAACTGTTTTGTGCTCAAATTATAGTTTAATGGACTTTGAATTATTTTTGAAAACTTTGAACAAATTCAATCAAGTCCTAAAACATTTTGCCTTAATTTATTATATCAAAATATTATAAAACATAGTTAAACAAAAAAACGAGTGGATTATATGGACAACATCATGGAAATAAAGTAAAATTATGTTCATGACAAGGCCATCATGATATTGAGTGGGGAAGAACGTGGAGTTACAAAAAATAGAATGGTATGATAAATTATGTTTATGACGAAACTGTCATGAGATCAAGCGGGGGAGAATACAGAGTTGTCACGATGCAAAGCCGTAAAGGAATGGTTTTAATAAATTAAACCACGTGGCATGATGTCAACAATCGAGAATCATAGAGAACGATAAAACCAAAAGTGTTTCGCATCTTGCTATGGTATATTTAGATTCGTATTATATTTATTAGGCTAACGATGTGTTTTCTAATGGTGTTTTTGTGTTTAGCAACGAAACATTTACATCATTACTATTGTGAAGACATGAACAAGAATAATGGTGGGTGAGCCTTTAGTTCTTATTGGTGATGCTATAAGTGAGTAATCATTGGTAAGGTGGGCCAAGTTTAGACGGTGTGCCTATAAAAGGCTGTGAGGACTAGAGTTAGGGCATGTCTTTGAATTCACATACATGTAGAACCATTATGGTACCATTAAGAATAATTACGCAGACCTTGTCATATGTGACACATATATAGAGAAGTTATAAAGTAGTAAGTACGCGAAGGGTGACACACCAAGTGATGTGTCATATGATTTAAAATGATGTGATAGTGTTCAAAATGTTAGACATAACAACAATACTTCCTCCAGGTATCCTTAAAAGAAATCAACTCAATGGTAACGAGAGGAAAACGAAAGGTAAATGGGCTTATCTACCTAGAGCTATGATTTTGGTGTTACATAAAATGAATCATAATCTAAGTTTTTGAGGATAAATGATGGACTTCGTGAAGAGGATCAACTCTATGCAACAAGGTAAAAAAGATATGGTTTTAGTGTCGATGAGGATATCAACCAAAGTGAATGGGGAGAATGTCAGGGACAAATCATATCCATGAGATTAAACTGACAATAACCTAATGGTGGACCGAGTTGATACGACTGTGAATCAAAGAAAAGTTTAAAGATTGATGATGATGGGCTTACCAAGGAAATGACCTAATTTTTTATAGGTTCCAACGTCTATTGGTGTCATAACTAATAAATTTCTTTAGCTCTTTAGGAAAAAGTGCTATGGTGTTGAGTCACCATCATTCCCTTCACCTTGAGCTACCATGTGGAGCTACTATGGTGTAAGTGACCTTTTCCTAAGCTGATGTGGGGCTTAGGTGTACGAGCATTCAGACCAAATGGATGGTACAATGTCTCTCTAGGATTATACCAGGGATGGTTTGGGGCCTATAGGTCTCATAGCACGCTCTTGATTGAGGAATGAGGTTGCAACCTAGCATTCGTTATGTTCTGCGGGATCTCCCTTCCAAGAGCACTTGTAGCTTATGGACTAATAGAGGCTTACCTATTTGATTAGGTTGATATAGGATTAATTAATGAACCGAGGGGATGACTTTTTTCAAGTATAACATGGCTTTATGATGGGCTAATCTGAGGCACATATCATTAAGAGAAAGATTGACTTGTCTAGGAATCATCATAATCAAGTGCCGCATGGCGTAACAATCAGGTCGAGATGTTATGTCCGTGACATTAAGATCGTGATTGCCGATAGGCAAGTCATTGACAACACATATATATTTTATAAATATAATTGTTCAAATTTAAGTTTTTTTAAAGAAAAAATATTTTTATCGCTATCTAATTAACATTTAAGATTTGTTTAAAACCTCATTTGTTTGTGGTATTTTTGTTGATTATTTGTGAATTTATATGTATAAGTAAGGGTGAATAAAACTCGACTCCATTTAACTTCAAGTAATAATTTTATAAATTCGACTCGAATTAACTACAAGTTATAATTTCATAACTCGACCCGACTCAAAAAAAATTCAAGTTCAAATCGAGTTGAAAAAAAAACTTGAATAACTAGAATAGTAACTCGAATAATTTGAAATTTTTAGTAATTAGTGAATTAATTTTCAAGTTTGAGTCGAAGTCCCTCATCTCTCTCTCTCTCTCTCTCTCTCTATATATATATATATATATATACACACACACATTATAAATATTTGTAACTAAATTTAAACAGAAACTCAAATTTGACTCGACTTGACTCGACAAAATTTCAAGTCAACTTCGAGTTATAAAATAGAACTCATCAACTCGAATAATTCGAAATTTTTAACTCAACTTGACTCATTCGAACGCTCACCCCTATGCATAAGTACATATATATAGTTATGTGTGAAGTCTTTTAAGTAATTAAGCACCATTCTACCTCAATAAGAACGGAGACTTAATCCTCTATTGGATCTCGTTAAGGTCCATTTCTCACACAAATCTTTATTTTTCTTCTAAAAGTGGAAGCGTTTTTATTATTAATAAATCAAGTAATATCGAATTTTCTTAAATAATTTTTATAAAAAATATTTCAAATTCATACATAACATGAAATCTCATATTGATTTTATTTGAAAACAAATCGTGAATAATAAGAGAAGTTCAATAACATAATTTAATAAAATTGAAGGATTATGTCTTACAAAAGTTCATATTCAATTTAATGAATTAAAGCATGAAATAGTGATGATAATCAAAATCAACGGAATCCTTTTGGAAACAAGGGCAAGATTTGTCTAGTTTGTAAACAAATGGGGTTGGCTGGACCACTTGGATTAGCCCTTTGTTTCATATCATATCCCTAATCTCTGGTCCCCACTCGCCATCCTCAAACCCCCCATTTTTACTCAGCTATCCAATCCCATCACCATATCTCTCATCTTTGTTTCCATGGACAAGTCAAAATTTGGATTAGGATTGCATAAGGTATAAAGTAGGAGTTACCCCTTTTTACAAAAGATGAAATCATGTTCATATTGAAAGATTATCAATGAAGGATCCGTATTTATGTAAAGGGGAATACATATTTATTTTTTGAATTTTTTATTATAGTAATTTATTTTTTGTTTCCGTCCACTCTGAAAATTTATTTATGTCCATCCAATATGTAAAAATTTTATATTTATAATAAATATATGTTTATTTTAGAAAATATTTATAAATCGGTCACTAGAGATGATTAGATACCAAATATAAAAAAAGAAACGAAGAGGAGACGTGGTTTGCTTGTACACACTCTTGTTTCTTTGTGGCTGTGAATGAGATTTTCTTTGTGATTGTGTCATACACAAATATACATTGGCAACTTGGAATTGCCTCGGGAATCAGTTCATTTAGATTAAATGATCAATTTACACTTTGTGTGTGCAGTGAAAGAGAACCATTCTGTGAATTCTTGAATGAAATATACTTTGATGATCAACCGAGTGTTTTGAAAGAAAGAAAAAGTGTGCTATCATAAGTACCACAAGTTATATTTCTACGTTTGGACAAAGAATTCCCATATTCAAGTTAAGTGGATTTCATCATTTTCAGGTTTTAAGACTAAAATTATTTCAAGTTTCAATAATGGTTCTTGCCAATAGAAGAAGGCTCAATTATGAAAATTTTGTATCTATGGAGTAGCCAATTATTGCTTGCGAAATATTATTTACAAAATATTTGAACCGATCATACAACACAAATTCCTATGACATTACTATATATATTGTAAGGGACGCAAACGTAATCTGCTTTCAGAGTTTGTTTGGAATCATTTATAAGGATTCAATTATATCAGTTAAAGCTGAAACATAATATAAAACTAATATTACATCATTTCCACGTGGATAATATGTTGATTAAGTTTTGGTCACTTTCCTTTCATATTCGTACACTTTTCGTCACTTACGTTACTGTTTTATTAAGTCTTGGTCACTTGGACATTGAATGTCATTAGTTTGATGACGTTATCCGTTAGTAAAATAGTTTAATTTTTATTTTAACCCTTACACTTTAGACAAAATACTGATTATAGATCATTTTGTAAATTCAAATTAGTTTAGTGACAACATTTCAATTTATCCATTTTTAGTAGGTTTTTTCCCAACTCCTTTATTGTTAATCTTCTCCGTGCTTCTTCTTTAGACGTCTCTGCTCCATCGCTCAATTTGCCTTCTTTCAAGACTCATGCTACATTTCAAGAATAATGAAAGATTTCCAACTTTCGATAACAAATAATAACACCACAACTTCAGAGAAAAATGAGAGGGTAGGCATCTAAAGAAAAAATGAATCTGGGTAATCTCAATTATACAAGCTAAAATTCAATTTCCAAAGATTGAGATTGTAGAATGTCAAATCCAACAAGAAATGATAAGACAAATCGATGGATCCAAATAACCCGATAACCGAATATCACTCTTCGTGGTGATTTTCCCTTGAGAAAATGCCTCCAGTGAAACATAATCAGTGGATCCAAACAACCCGATTATTGGATCTATGAATTAATCAACTAAACTCAATCCAAAATCCATGATCTTCAACGTCAAATCTTTATTTTTGCTCAAGAACAAGCAATTTTTCGATTCTAGATTCCTATGAATCATCATTAACCCCTGCCCTATGGCTTGATTGATCTGTCACACCATTACCACCATATCGACTTTCGAGTATCTTATTTCCAAGTGACCAAAACTTAATAAAACAATAACGTAAGTGACCAAAACTTAATAAAACGATAAAGAAAGTAACCAAAAGTGTACAAATATGAAAGGAAAGTGACTAAAACTTAATAAAATGATAAAGAAAGTGACCAAAAGTGTACAAATATGAAAGGAAAGTGACCAAAACTAAATCCACTTATTATCTACATGGAAATGATGTAATTTTAATTTTATATATTATCACACCACGTCAGCAAACCGTTAAAGGTTTAATGATTGTTAACCTTTAGTGACCACATCTTAATTAAAGCGAAACAAAAGTGACAAAATCTTATGTTTTTCGAATTCAATTAGGGAAAAATTATAAAACTCAAACTAAAGTTACCATTTCTGTAGTTTGTCCAATAATGTATGTTTAAACACATTTAAATTTGTGTCCTTCTAAATATTGCAGCAAAAATTATACCCTACTAAAACTCAGTTAACATAGATGATATTTTTCCCCATATTTTAGTTATGTTTTAAGATGTTACTATAAAATTTAGGGTAAAGTGCACATTTTGTATGTAACACCCCAAATTACGAGTTAGGAGTTTCAGGTTTTCCAGCGGGCCTTAGAATAAAATTCCTTTAGCTTATGAGAGGCTTTGACCCCAAATGGATTTTAATTTGGGCTAAGGATGAGCCCAATAGGATATAGAAGGATGATTTTAATCATAAACCAAAAGATGAAGGACTAAATGAGTAAATAACTCATTTTTCAAAACAAATGTTGAATTTCATTTATGTGGGATGATCTCACTTCTGGACACCTCTTTCCCCCCCACACTTCCTTGTCTTTGTAACATCCTCAATATCGGGTTAGCGACTAAATTGAAATATTTCAGAATTTATTGGTCAAAGTAGATAAATTGAAAGTTTGGGGACTTACAGGAAAAATTGTTTTGTAGGATTTAAATATTAAAGAAGGAATTATGGAAGGGTAATATGGTAATTTGATGGAAAGATATTTGTTAAGTGGGGATATATATGGGTTACACGTGGGATTGAAGGAGAAAATGAAGCTTTCTAGAGTTCTCTTCTTCATCCTCTTCCAGCTGTGAGCTCAAACTTGATAAGGTGAGTTTTCTAGACAATTAATTATTCAGAGAATTTAAGTTGGGTTTATGATTCTTAAGTGATACTTAAGCCTAAGGAAGGCTTAAGCTAGCATTAAAACAAAGAATAGAGGAATAGGGAGGAATTAAAGTTAAAGAGTTTTTAAGTGAAATTTTGATGGTGAGTTAATAAGCTATAATGGAGGCTAAATTTGACTTGTCCTCAATCTATTTAAGACAAACAAAGTGTTAAAAGTAGAATTAAATCATGTTGCAAAGTTGGTGAAATTCTTGAATTTTATGAGGAGGATAGATTTTGAGGTTTAAGATGAAATAAATGAGTATAGATTGTTTTAAGTATGTGTACTGGAGTTAGGAATAAAAAAAGGGATGAAACTTGAAGGATTTAAACTAAAATGGATGAATTTTTGGGTTCAAGAAGATGTGTACCGATGCATCAAGGGTAAAATCCCAGAAATTGTTCAAGGTGTATCGATGCACATGAAGTGTATCGATGCACTCCTTTAAAATAAAAACATCGAATGCCATCACTGTATCGATGCACAAGTAGTGCATCGATGCACCCCCTTAAAATACAAACATTAAATGGGATTTATGTACCGATGCATAGATAGTGCATCGATGCACCCATCAAGGGATGCATCGATACATGGTGTAGTGCATCGATGCATACATTATTAAAAGATGAAAATAGCTTTCTTTTTAGCCTAAGGAGTGATAGTTTAGAATATATTAATTAGTATACTGATATGTATCAATGTATTACTATGTAGATTTAGAGCGTAATACTGTTCTGGAACAATCGAGGGATTAGGATCAAATCAAAGCAAGCAAGGCTAAGGTGAGTGCATAATATAAGTATAAGGTAATGGAAATAAGACTTGTGATAAGTCTATTTCTGAGATAATGTCATAGTATAATAATATGAACATGCATATATTATAGTTTAGATTAAATATGTGTAAGTTATATATGCTTACATAAGAATTTACTCAAATGCTTGTGTGGTAGAATATGAGATGGATGATTATTGCATATATGTTTATATGTTATAGTGAATGTTACATAATATAGATATGTATATAAATTTATGAACTTATATGACTATGAAATATGAATGTGATATGTGCATATGGAGAAGACTAAGTGATATGAACTACGTAATCATATGAAAATAAGAACATGTGAAATGAAATATATGATAAGGAAACAGGGAACTCTATAAGAGTATTACATGATGCGTGATAAAGAGCTATAAGTATGTGCTTATGTGATATAAATAAATGATAAATACAATAACAATGCCCATGTTATGTGATGTGAGAACCATAGGTACAGTTGGCATGCCAAGAGTTGAGGGTTCATAGGTCTTTCGAGACATATAGAGATCCTTCGGTATATACATAGGTCATTCGAGACAACTTTCACATGCCCCTACTGGGACCCCATACGAGCTGTGGTGACAGCATAGTGCACAACCTCAATGTACTCGCATACCTTAAGTTATCAGCAATGTACATGGGCCTATAAAAGATATGAAAAGAGTTTGTATGATTGTATTTTATCATGTTACCATTGCTTGCTTTGAATCATGTATGCATATGAATTAATAAGGAGATTAATAATAATCTACGCATATGTATTTATTTATTGATATGTAATTTGAGATGATTTTGTCTGAAAGGATGAAATGAAATGAGGTTGGATGATATGATGGAATATAGTATGCATATAATGTGACCGTTATAAGTGTATTATATATTTTAGTATGCCTCACTAAGTCTGTGACTTAGCGTGTAAGTGATTTACACGTAGGTACCGAAAAGCAAGAAGACCGGTCTTGGGAACAGCAGAACAACATATCCTCATTTGAAGATCAGAAGAGAAGCACCTGACGTAGTATGTTGGTTTATATTTTATATGTGTTGGCATGTAAATAGATTCATATAGTATATACGCTCTGATCGAGGTGTAATGTTTTGAAGTGGTAATGTAAATAAATCGTTTTTATTTTAATGAAAGTTTTAAATTTTCCTTGAATTTTTTCAAGAGTCAAAGCTTTGAAAAGTTAATGTGACACCTCAGATTCGTATTCAGGTTGAGGTGTTACATTTAATGGTATCAGAGCTACGGTTTAGCTGATTCTAGGCATAAACCTGAGTCTAGAGTGTCTTTAGATATGTACATGCCAACATAGTAGTGATAACTTCTGATCTGATCTGAGTAATAAGTATGTTGCGAACCTTTGGCTTAACGATGTGAAAATCATACTCGAAGGACTTTATTGTTCTGATATGGAAAAGTTAAACAGAGTAGTCTCATTGCTACATGGGCAAGCGAGAATTTGGTGGACGGATGTCACTTTTAGGATGCCAAGTGATCAGATAACTTGGTATTTGTTTTTGGAAGAATTTAAGCACAACTATATAGGAGATCAATTCTTCAGGAAAATGAAGCAAGAATTTTTAAATTTGAAGTAGATGAATCGTACTGTGTATGAGTATGAGTGCGAGTTTAACAAGTTAAGTCATTTTGCAACTGAGTTGATTCCAACCGAGAAAGATGCGTGTGATTGGTTTGTAAAGGGCTTGTGCCCGAGATTAAAAGAGATGTTAATCGTGTTAAATTTGTCCTCGTTTCAAGAGGTAATAAATCGTGCGAAATCTCTTGAAAGAGCTCAGAATGAACGGTTTGAGGAGCAGAGAGATCAATCTTCTAAAAGAACTGGGGTTTCATCGAGCATGGTACCACCCAAGAAAGGTAGAGATTCAGGTTTTCGATCTCAAGCACTGTCAGAATCGATGGCATCATCCGTTAAAGAATCAAATCAAATGAGAGTTAGACAAACACAGTCTGGAAGGTCTGGTGATAAGCGAGCACAACAAAGTCAAATTATACAATGTCAGATTTGTGGAAGAAGCCATAGTGGATTGTGTAGAGTGGTCACTGGAGCCTGTTTCTGATGTGGAGAAACAGGGCATTACATGAAGGATTGTCCGTTGAGGGCTGGAGAGCCTATACAGTCAGAGCGATCTTCGTCGATGTCTCAGAGAGGACGCGGTAGAGGTAGAGGAAGGAATCAGGCAGAATCTTCTACTCAACAGGAAATACGTTCCACTGCTAGAGTATATAATCTCAAGATCTATGAGGACTGTGATGACCCAGAGATAGTAGCAGGTATTTGTTTTCTATTGTACAGTAAATGCATTATGATATTGGTTGATCCGAGTTGCATATCTATAAATGAGTAGTGAATGGGTGAGAGAATTGAGAATTTAGATAAAGTCATTTGTAGTAATATTAAAGTGACAAATTTAGTAGGGCACAGTGCTCAAGTAAACAAGATATGTGGAAGGTGTTCCATTTGGATTCAGGGAATTAAATTCTTTGTTAATCCAATAAAGTTATTTTTCAAGGGATTGGAAATAATATTGGAGATGGACTAGTTATATAGTTAGTATGAAAATGATGATTGTAAATTAGGAAGAGATACAACTAATCAGCTTAGACGGATTGAAAATATCAGTGTTGGAAGATATATGTTATGAGGGATAAATATGTTTTGATTGAATAATGATTTTACAAGGAATGAGGTTGTGCAAGTAGTGTTAAATATCAGAATTATGGAAATACGATGTGGAATATTATTTAAAGATAAATATAAGTGATATGAAATGATTATGAATGCATAAGGAAAAGGATATGATTTATGAGATAAGAAGATGGTGGTTTATGAAGAATTAAAAGGATATAAAGAAATTAATTGGAAAAGAGTGTAAAGTGTGAATTATAGGTTTGATAAGGAAGTAAGGAAATGATAGATAGTATTGTGGAAAGGTTGTTTGGTTTTAAAAATATATGTTTTCACCAATTATGATGGAGAGTAAATTTTATAGATAAAAAGATAATAATTTAGTTATATGTATTAATGAAGTTAAAATATAATTGAAAGAATGTTTCTCTCGGTTCAGATAGTGAAGGATAAGTCTGTTGTGTTGCAAATGATATGGATGTATAAAATAAAGGCAATGAAAGTCAGGTTATGATAACTCGAGATTAATTGAAGAGGTAATATGTGAATATGAATATGAGACGGGTAGACAATAGTTTAATCTAATAGTAAAATGAAAATTCGAGGACGAATTTTCTTAAAGGAGGGGAGATTTGTAACATCCTCAATATTGGGTTAGTGACTAAATTGAAATATTTTAGAATTTATTGGTCAAAGTAGATAAATTGAAAGTTTGGGGACTCACAGGAAAATTTGTTGTGTAGGATTTAAATATTAGAAGGAATTATGGAAGGGTAAAATGGTAATTTGATGGAAATATATTTGTTAAGTGGGGATATATATGGGTTATACGTGGGATTGAAGGAGAAAATGAAGCTTTCTAGAGTTCTCTTCTTCATCCTCTTCCAACCGTGAGCTCAAGCTTGATAAGGTGAGTTTTCTAGACAATTAATTATTCAATGAATTTAAGTTGGGTTTATGATTCTTAAGTGATACTTAAGCCTAAGGAAGGCTTAAGCTAGCATTAAAACAAAGAATAGAGGTATTAGGAGGAATTAAAGTTAAGGAGTTTTTAAGTGAAATTT